TGAAAGGAAGCTCAAAACATTTCAGGGCAAAACAATGAATGACCTTTTAGAGGGAAAATGTTGAAGAAGTGAGTCGTGCAGAGGAGAAAGTTTCATCCTTAAAAACATGAGATCACAGAAACAGAGTGGTTTGGGTTGGAAGGACTTTAAAGCTCATCCATCCCACCCCCTGCCACAGGCAGGGACACTTTCCACTAGACCAGATTGCTCCAAACCCCGTCCAACCTGGCCTTGGACACTTCCAGGGATAGAAAAACCCCAAGGATTGTTACCATTGTTAGTGGTAAGTTCTCAACCACGGGGAATTCCTACATTTGACCTTCTAAAAGTTTTATATAAATGCTGGTGGGACTTTCACTGCTTTACCTTCTCCATCCTGCCCAACCGTCAGTGGGCAGGGAGGTGTTTTTAAGGCTGTTGCAAAGGGGTGTTGTCGGCAAAGTAATTCTGTATCTCCTGGTGTCATGAAATCCAGATCAGCTGCTGCACTTGGAAGATGCTTTTGTCAGTCCCAGAGGCAATCCTGAATATCTCCCAGGGTCAAAACGGTTAAACTGGTCCTTTCTTGGGTTTTATTTTTAGTTGTGGGGTAAGTAGGTACGAAGACATGTTAAGGAAATGTCACTTTTTCAATATTCTCATGATTTTTGTCTGACTTTGCCTCCTTTTTTATCTTTCACTATGAATATACCTCAATAGAACACTTGGGTAGAGCTGTGACAGAGGGACAAAGAGAGTCACAGAGATACTTAGAGAAGCAAAGTATATCTTTAATGAGTGACAGAAATGCAAAAAGCCCATGTAATTGCTGTGGGGATTTTCAGGTGAAGTCCCACATGACAGAGGAGCTGCTCCAGCAGCTCCTGATTCCGAGAGAGAAATCCTGGCACTTCCTTTCTGCTGACTTTTGTGGCACAGAAACTTGGACATGTTGAGGCTGGAGGAGACCTTTGGAGGTCTCCTGAGCCAAACTCTCTGTGCTCAAGCAGGGCCACCTGGAGCTGGTTGCCCTGTTCCATGAGCAGTTGTGTTTGGAGCACAGTCCACCCATTTTTTCAGGAACAGTGATCCCTTCTTGGGGTGGAAGAGAGTCACTTGCAGCTCTTCCCCGTGAGTTGGTGAATGTTTGTGCCTTGCTTTGGTTTTACCACTTGGTGACCTTAAGATACCTCTTTTGGGAGGAGATTTAATGTCTAAATGAGTTATGTGGACTCTTGTCAGCATGGGAATAATGGAATCTCAAATGGATGAGGTAGGAAATTGAGTCTTGAAAAACTGTGTTGGGTTTTTGAATTGTACCCCAAAATTGTCCCGTGTTAAACCAACTGTAGTTTATTTATAGACTCTTCAATAACCACCACTTCAAGTAGTTTTTCTGCTTGGAGTTAATGATTTCTGTGATGCTTGGAAAAGTCATGGAATCACAGGATGGTTTGGGTTGGAAGGACCTTAAAGATCATCCAGTTCCACCCCCCTGCTGTGAGCAGGGACACCTTCCACTGTCCCAGGTTGCTCCAAGCCCTGTCCAACATGGCCTTGGACACTTCCAGGGGTGGGGTATCCACAAAACATCCTTTAAAAAGAAATCCATTTGAAACAAAGCCATTTTGAAGGAGAAAAGTATTTGCCATCCTCACCAAATAAATAAAAATATTCTTGAACTTCTTCCACTCTGTTCAGATGATGCTTTAAAGCAATAAACCCAACAGTGTCTGTATTTCCAGGTAGTTCTGGGCTGGGAACCTTTTGAGTGCAAATATACATAAAGGTGTATATTTTTATGCCATCCCTAAACTGACATCAGGTCAGGCCTATTTGTAAGATAATTCCACTCATTCTCAATCCATAATCTCTTAATGTATAGACATCTTGGCATACTTTTAGTTTTCTGTCACTGTTTTAGAACCTGTGATCACTTGAACTTGCAGTGCTCAGAAAGGAAAATCAGTGTTTGACTGCACCTTGTTCCTTAGATATTTCTATCCTGTGGAAGTTCTGGATGTGGGTTTTAGTCCTCCCGTGGTGGCCAGCAGATCACTTACCTTTTTGGATGTCTAGAACTCTCCTTTATGAGCCAAAAATCAATCTCTGAGCCACCAGAGGGTTTGTGAACCTCAATTAATGGGTGCACACAAACGTCCCCATTTCTGGAGCGACTCCTCGACCTAAAACTAAAGGAGGTCAAGATTTCTATTCTAAAGAAAGTTCTTCTTTCTCCCCTCATTTCTTCCTGACGTGTCACCAGGTGTTTCCAGGCAGTTCCGAGTGTTCCCTCGGGATTAAATGTCCCGGGGTGGGATTGCAGGTGTCATGGAGCAAAGTCTGAGATGTGGCAAGGGCAGGTATTTCATCAGGGCTTGTTTTTGTTGATAGCCAGTGCTGCTCTCAGCAACAAGTCCATGAACTCCAGTGCCTTCATTTCAGGGACAGGAAGAAGTTGTAAACATGGAATTCCTTGGCTGCTGCTCCTGGTGGTTGCAGATCTTCAACTTTTGACCCGGGTGGTTGTTGCTTGTCGCTGACGTGGGCGAGGGTTGGTGCCACCATCAGGAGATGACTGAAGTGCCTTTGTTTGGGATGAGTTGGCCAATTCCCACCATCTCCTTGTCATCCTTCATGTCCTCCCCTGGTCAGGCTCTTGTGTGTCCTCATGGCCCTGAGATTTGGGGTGAAACCCCTTTATTTTTCTGGTTTAGAGAAAGGTTCTCGTTGGACGTGGTTTGGGTTCTCCTCTGTTGACATCGCTTTTCGTGGGGGCCTTCCCGTGGGATACGGTTTGGATTCGTGTCTGTTGACATCCCATTTTGGGGGGGACTTCCCTCCAGACAAACAGGGACCTGTTTGTGAAGCACAAACAGCAAATCTCTCCAAAAATTTAAACGGAATGAATAAAATGGACTTGGGAGGGACGGGGTGTGCAAGCATGGAAAGCTTCAAGTGGAACTGAAATCTTGGATTTGCAGCTGCTCTTCTGTGGGATAATTATATTTGTGATACTTTCCTACTTTACTTTTTTACTTTATTTTAAGTGTGTGTAGTGCATTCAGGTTAGTATTATTCAGTTTATCCTCAGATTTGTTGTGATTTTCGGAGTGTCAGAAGGTCCTATAAAGTCAAACTGTGAATGGGAACCCCACACTACCAGGATTTTTGGGTGTAATATGTGAGTTTCTGCTTTTTTAGGGATCCAAGTGCAGAACCTTCAAAAATTAAATTTGTTTTTATTAAGTTGTGTAATTTGCCAGATATCTGTCTGTTGTAAACCTGTGGCTTGGGGTAAAAAAATACAAGAAATAAACCTTCTAAAGTAACTGGCTCCAATCTAGATTAATGGTATTTTTGACTGTCTGATTTAAATATTGTTTTGACTTTTACTTCAGTCACCAAGATGTTGCTAAGTGAGATTATGGGGTTTTTTTCAAGAATTAAAAGAGCAGAAAGTAGAGATCCTGGAGGATGTCTTACATATGCTCTTCCATTCTTACAGGAGTGTTCAGTATATATTAAAAAGTAACTGTACACTAAATTTATCAGGTTCTAGAGGTGGAAGATTAACTCTGATTCTCAGTTTTGAATGGACATTTTACAGAAGAGTTAAAAGTAATTTTCTGTGCAGTGTTAACTTAAAATGGTGTAGTCAGGAATTTATTTTATTTTCATATCTAAGACCATTTCGAAGCTTTATCCTGTTATCAGAGGCACAATAATTCACACCAAAAAAAGGAGTTTTCCTATATCTCATCATTATATATATGTAATTTCATCATTTCATATATAACATCATTATTGTTCTGGAGGAAAACACCAGTGGCCTGGCAGTGGGTATTTCACCCCTTTTAAAGTCATAATAATTATCCTATATACAGCCTTTCTCCTGTATAGCTGTTTGAATAGTATTTTGACTTCTTTATTGAATGTATTTGTGTATAATCAGTGTAAGATGACTTTTGATTTCATCCCATGCAGTTCTGTTGCCCTGACAGGGCTGAGTCAATGATCCAGTGTAATTTTCAATGTTTTATTTTCTTTTTTCTTGTCATAGTTATTTTTAAGAAAGCCCAAATCAATGATCTTAGTTCATCTGCTGTTTTCTACTGCTTATATTTCCTTGCAGGGTTTTGCTTGTAAAGGAAATGGGGATTTCCCTTCCTTGGTCAGGTGCTTGGCTGTTTAACACCTTCCTTCTAAATTTAATCTTTACCAATAATTCTGCTTTGAGATTGCAGCTGCTGTTTGTTTGCAGGGAGGCACAAACACAGAGGGCAGGGAATCCCAGAATCATCAAGGTTGGAAGGGACCTTCAGGATCATCCAATCCCACCAGAATCCCCCCTAATCCATGTCCCAAAAGAGGAGTTGCTGAGACTGGGCACTGCCTCTGCTTTTCTTTTGGCACAGTTAGTCAGAAAGTTGCTGGGAGCAGCCCTGAGAGGCACAGCTTGGGTGTTTTTCTGGCTTTTTGTGGAATCCACACACAAAATTCCTATGTTTGAAAATAGCCCCTGTCAAATTCTGCTCATGACACGTAGTCGGAGGTGTGAGAAAAGGATTCGAGTGATGGGTTGGGTTGGGTTGGAAGGGACCTTAAAGATCATCCAGATCCAACCCCCTGCCATGGGCAGGGACACCTTCCACTAGCCCAGGTTGCTCCAAGCCCCGTCCAACCTGGCCTTGGACACTTCCAGGGATCCAGGAGCAGCCACAGCTTCTCTGGGAAACCTGTGCCAGGGCCTCCCCACCCTCACAGCCAAGAATTTCTTCCTAATATCCCATCTAAACCTACTATCATTGAATTTGAAGCCATTCCCCTTGTCCTGTCACTCCATGCCCTCATGAAAAGCCCCTCTCAGCCCTCCTGAAAGTTAATCTTTCCCACCAGGATGCTTTCTGGGTTCCCTGTCTCTCAAAACTTCGGCGTACGAAAAAACCGCCGAGCTCCGCGAGCCGGGACACGGAGGGAAATCCTCTCGAACCATTCAAAACCTCACCTTGTCTTTGCAGGAGGAGAGACTTCAGCATGCAAACCTTCATCTGTTCGGCTTGCACCATCGTTTTCATTCCATGCTGCTGGCCTTCAGATGGCTGGACAGATGTCCCACTCCCATCAGCAGTACAGTGACCGGCGGCCGCAGAACATCAGTGACCAGCAGGTTTCTGCCTTATCCTACGCTGAGCAGCTCGAGCAGCCACTCCCACTGACAAACCAGGTGAGGGGCACACAAAGGTCCTTCAGGTGTCATGAGTTCCTCTGAATAACAGCCATGGAATCACAGGATGGCTTGGCTTGGAAGGGATCTGAAAGATCGTCCAGTGCCACCCCCTGCCACGGGCAGGGACACCTTCCACTAGACCAGGTTGCTCCAACCTGTCCTTGGACACTTCCAGGGATCCAGGGGCAGCCACAGCTTCTCTGGGAATTCTATCCCAGCCCCTCCCCACCCTCACAGCCAAGAATTCCTTCCCAATATCCCACCTAACCCTGCCCTCCTTCAGCTTAAGGCCATTCCTCCTTGTCCTGTCACTCCAAGTCCCTCTCCAGTTTAATGTGTTTTACAACCATAAACTACATTTATTTTTTTTTAAATGCTTTGTTGTTTTGTTTATTTTTTGAACTGAATAAATCCTGACTCTTTAAGGATGGGTAGACAAATAAGTTCCTTGAAGTTGTTTTTAAACATCTGGTACATATTTATTGTGATTCTTCTACTTAGACAATATTTCCTCTTATTTTAAGAAAATGCTACAAGTGCAGAGTTCTAAAGGGAGTTTAATAATAGTGGGGTTTTTTAATTTTGATGCTGCTTGTTAGAATATAATTACTTTGTTACTTGTTCTCATGGACAGTGTTTTAATGCAGTGCCACTGCTTGGTGTATTTGGAGTAGAGAGGTTTGCACAAAAATATATTATTAGGCAGACACACTTTTTCCTTTTTTTTTTTTTTTTTAAAGCAACATCTAAAGCTGTGCTATCATTGAGGTTTTACTACTACTGATTTACTACTTACTGTTGCAAGGGGGTAAAATGGCCACAGGGATTAGGATGCTGCTGCTTTTGAGCTGTCAGGATCAGCCTTTCTTCTGTCCTGCCTTTGAGTTGCCAGAGCTGAAAGAGCTCCCTAACCCACAGTGCCAGTAGCCACAGGAGCTGCTGTAACTCTGGATAAGTGGGAATCCTGTTATTTTTTAAAAATGGCACAGCCCAGTTGTAGAGACACGAGCACAGATTGGTCCCAAAGCTTAAAATCCAGAAGTCCACAATTTGGGGCAGACCGTGAGGCAAGTTTCACGTGAGGATGAAGTTTTTTGTTGCTGCCAGATTCAGGTCTGTTCTTGTGTTCAAGATGTCTTGAACAGGTGGAGGAATCTCCAGGAGCATCAAAGAGATTCTCTGATGCTGTAGGAAGACACTTATGTGGGGAGAGGAATGGATTAGAGAGGATGGGAATGGTCAAACCAAGTGCCAGGATGTTGGATACCAGGCTTTGGAGATCTCTGATGGCAAGGTCTCCACAAAGAATGGCAGAGGGAAGGGAGCTGGCAAAGGATGTTTGCATTTTGGTGAGAGCAAATCAGTAGGAAGAGTAAATCTGCTCCTATAAACAGTGTTTAGCTTGAGGATCTACAAAGGTATTTTATGTGACTTGTTTTAGGTTAAAGGTGCCCCCAAACCTCCTCAGTGAGGTTGGTCAGTCAAGGAGAAAAGTTGCTGGTTCCTTGAACATTTCAAGGCACTTCAGGGCCACAACCAGGCACCTCCTGTGTGAGCTTTAGTGACATCAGTGCTTGGTTGGTTGTGTTTTCAAGCCAAACTCAGGGAATTTTAGGTTGTGTGGATGTTATCCATGTGAGGAAACGATCAGCTGGACACCTTGGTGATGACAGTGGAGCTGTCTCTGCACCACTAACTCTATTTTATAGAATCAGTTCTTAGTTTTCCAGCTCCATCTTGGCTTTTTCTGCATTGTAGCTTCTGTTTTCCTATTTTACTGTAATTGTCTCCTTGAAGTCTTTGTTGTCCTGTGCCCAAGCAGCTCAGAATTGTCACTTCTTTATCCTTTCAGCACCCTTGGCTTTCACGGTGGACAGCTCATTGAAGTCTTCTGACTACTTGTCCTTTGTCCTCCTCTGAGTTCTTGTGCTTCTTGTCCCACCAGGAGTTCTCCAGAGCAGGTTCCTGGTTGGAGTGGAGGTTCTGTAGGAGCCTCCTGGGGAGTCTCAGTGGCTTTTTGTCTTTGCATTGATCTGATCTGCACAACCCAATCCAGCTGAGATCTTCATGCTGGTGGGTCAGATCATCTCCTCTAGACCTAAACAAACTCCTTGTTCTTTCTCTTAGAGTTGCCCTTTTCCAGCTCTAGTTCATCTTGATTCAAACTCTTATTGTTTTTTTCTCCTAAAAGATGTGACTTTCTGTGGGTGAGGGCACTGAGTGTCACATCCAGTTCTTCCTGGGACACCTCCAGGGATGGGGACTCCACCACCTCTCTGGGCAGCCCCTGCCAAGACCTGACCACCCTTTCCAGCAACAAATTCCTCCTGATGTCCAACCTGAGCCTCCCCTGGCACAGCTGGAGGCCGTTCCCTCTCCTCCTGTCCCTTGTTCCCTGGCAGCAGAGCCTGACCCCCCCTGGCCCCCCTTCTTGTCAGGGACTTGCAGAGCCAGAAGGTCCCCCCTGAGCCTCCTTTTTTCCAATTCTGCTTCTGATCCTTAAGAAGATCCTGTTTTTAACATGCAGCAAAAGGCTGAATGTCTGTTGGAGAAGATTTGACTGATCTGACACGGCCATAAAAACAGGAGGAGGGAAAAGGTAACTCTGGCAGATACAGGGAGTTTAATTCTTAAAGGGTAGATCCTTTTAGTGCAGTGGCTCACATCCAGTCAAACAGATGAGAATTAGGTCTAAACAGACAAGGATTAGATCTCCAAGCTTTGTTTTCCTGGTTTTTCCCAACACCAGGATCATCAGCAGGCTGGACAGTGGGCTCAGCTTGGCTGCTCCAGCTTTCCACAGCCTAAAAGGAACTTATTCGGTGCCCTAAAAGTGATTTCTTTGGGTGCAAGTGTCCACCAGTTGGTTACTAACGAGTTACCAACCCCTTTGCTCCTGAGAGGGCCCATTCCCTGGGGATTGAGCAGCCAGGGCACTCAAGGAAAGCAGGAGTTTCCCGGGAAGCTGCGGGTAAGGAGAGTCTTTCCCGAGCTCCAACCCCCCTCTGGTGGCCGAAGGGCCGCGGTGCTTCTGCTGGGAAAGCCAACCCTCTCCCAGATCCCATCCTTTCCAGAAACTCCCTCTGTTAAATAACTGCCTTGTTACTTTTCCAGGTTATTTTTGTGTCTTTCTTTTTACTTCAACGGACTCTTTTTTAATTGAGGATATTTTCTGGTTCAGGTTCCTCCAGTGATTTTAATTCATAAGCAGAGAATGGGGAAGCCTTGAATGGGAATTTATTCCTTTTATTCCTGCTCTGTCCTGCTTGGATTTTGATTTTATTGGCTTGCAGGCCATCCTGCTATTTTAGGAATCAAAAAATTGTAAAAAACGTAAAATTTTTTACAATGTAAATATTGCACTGTTAGAAAACAGTAACAACAATTCATATTAAAATATATAAAAATATATATATATACATATAAACCTTTAAAATTACCCTTAACATTTTATTTATATAATCTTCTCTTGCACCTCTTGCTTTCTGGCTGTGCTCCCCAAACCATCATAGACAAGGCTCAAATAATAGGAAGATACTCCAAAACCAGCCACTTTTCACTCATTTATGAGGGTTTTAATTACAGTTAAAACCTTCCAGCTCTTTCCTTTTTAACTTTTTCCTTCAGGAGTTGGTCTTTAGGCTTTCTTTTCCCAAAAAGTGCCAGGTTCTGCTCTTGGTGTGGGGTCTCACTCTGTGCTGAGAGCCAGAACCAGCTTCAGGGAGCTGTAGGAGCAGCAGAGTTGGGATCTGTGGGATTTTTCTCCTTTAACAATCACAAACTCCTCTTTCTTTGTCCATTTCTAACTGGTTGCATCTTGTGAGTTCAACATAACCCGATGGTAAAAGAAGATAAGAAGCTTAAAAGTTAAAGTCACAACTTTAAACAAGTGGTTTTTTTTTTGCTCTGCACTAACATTTTGTCTCCATCATTTTGTCTCCATCCTGGGTAGCTCAGATGGCCTGAAATTGTTTTCAGTGAAGTACAGAAAGATCAGAAAATGACTTTACCTGCTCAGGAAGTTGAGGTGAACTCACAGGCAGATTTTGGTAACAAATTCCAACAGTTCAGCTTTCAGGAAGCACCTGGAATTGGAAGGTCAGGCTGATGCTGAACACTTTTATCTCTGTTTGTCTAAGATCACTTAGCACCTGCATAATTCCTGTTTTTTACTGACCAGATCGTGGCCAGAGATTTTATTGATCACAACTAGATCAGGGCCAAGTTCATGCCTTAATTCAAATCCTTAATTCAGTTAAAAATCCTTAATTCAGTTATTTCCACTACCTGATAAACATTATATTAGTGGGGGACTTCACCAGACTCTGTCCTGAGTGTGAACATGTCAATTAAACAAGTCATCACAACTGGAATTCTTGCTAAAAATTGCCTTTATACTCTAAAATCTTCATTATTTATTTTGTTCATTATTTATTCCATTTGTAAAACGGAACATGGACTTTACAGAAGCTGAATTTATCTTTTATTCCCTTTTCTTAATCAACGTGGATGGTGGTGGATCTTTCTTTTAAAAAAAAAAATAAATCTGAATTGAAGCATCTTGTGAACAGAATATATATTTCCATAATCAAAATAAAAGGCATTTAATAAGGAAATCTTATTTTATTTTATTATTTTATTTTATTTTTATTATTATTATTTTAGATAATAAAAATTATGGCCAAAGAGAGGGAATTTTGTTTTCTCTTCCTTTATTCATCAAACCCAAAGACTGTGCTGGTTCAAATAACACACCTGAGTTAAAATCACAGTTTCCTTAAAACATGGCTTGTCTCAGGTGTGTTGAGTATCAGTGGGGCTCTTGGTTGCCTTTTTTATGGGTGTTTATTGACACATATAACTGAAATTAAAATAATTCTTATCTCTCAGACAGAAATTCCAGCATCTCTTTGATTTGGGAATGTTCTCAGGAAGATTTGGGGGCTGTTTCCAGGAAGATCTGAGGTTGCAGTGTTGCTCTCTGGCCACCAGATAGAGACTGAAGCTCGTGAAAGAGGAGTTTTCTTTCTCTTTCCTCTCTTTTTTCATCTCTTTTCCCCTTTCCTTTGGTGGTTGAGGATTCTCTGAAGCCCAGGCAGGAATCAGTGTCACCCCATCAGTAAAGGATTGGAGGGTGTTGTTGTATAAAATGGATAATGAGCACTTTGCTCCACAGTTTTCCATCACCAGGAAGGAGAGAGGGAGCAGGAATCCCTCTTGGAAAGAGAAGAGAACGTTACAAATGTTAAAACATAAAAGGAGGAGGGGAAAAAAACCCCCTCAATTCTTTCTCTTCTCCCACCCAAAACTTTCTGAACCCAGGAGAGCAAAGTAGAACCTGTTAAGAAGTTCCTGAAGGTTCAAAGTGAGGCCTCGGGAATGTGGGACTGTCCAAATCCACACTGGAAAACACAAGTTTTAAATAAGGGACTGACTGCAAGAACCAGAGGAGTAGCCTTCAGAATTTTAATTAATTATTATTTAATTATTTACAATAATTAAATAATAATAGTTAGGGAACAGCAGCAAATCAGATTATATTTTTTTTTTTTAACCAACCTGCTGATTTCAGAGTAGAAATCAGATTTATTTTTGAAGTAAGCAAGGAAATTTGACTTATAAATTAGAAAATAAACATGAGGACATGTCCTACAAATTCCCTTTCCAGATTAGAGGAATGCTATATGTGAATAGTTGATCTGAACTATGGAATTCTTGAAGTGGAAAACTCAGAGTCCCTGTGCTGCTCATCCAGCCCTGGACAGAGAGTGGGCCCTGCTGATATTCCTGTACCACAGCCTGGGTTTTACCAGCAAAATCTACCAGTGTTCTTGTGCTCCAGTTGAGAAATTTTAAGGAAATACTTGGATTTGGGAAGCCTGGAGCAGTGCCAGCTGGGATTAGGATGTGCTGCTGCTCCGTTTTTAACGGGGTTGTGGGAGGGAACCAAAGGAGCTCCTATTTAAGTGTGGTTTGTTTAATGCTCCACATTTGTTTGGCAGCTGAAAGGAAGCAACAGAAAAATGTTTTGTAAATGCCAAATAGTTTGTTTAGGAAACTTTCAGGCAGTTTCCTGATGTTTACAAAGTTTTATTGCTTGTAATAAAAGAGAATTAATGTCTTTCCCTCTGTCCATGTGCTCCGTGCACCCACTGGAGCTGGGATTTCTGGGGTGGTTCCTTGGGTACCTGAGGGCAGGTCCAGTTTCAGAAGCACAAACTTTTATAATTTCTTTTTTGTGAGACCTTTTTTGGGTCACTGCAGTGTGATTTTTTAAAAAAAAAAATTGTTTTGTCGTGCACTCTTTGCACAGCAACTATTCTAATATTTATTATAATATTTAGTAGTTTAATACTAAATATTGTATTATATAATTTAGTAGTATAATACTGAATATTATAGAAGGCAATATGATAGAATATAATAACATTTAGTATTTATTATTCAGTAACATTCAAGTAGTATTAATTAATTAATTTAATATTTACTAATTATTATCATTAATAATTATTATTACTTATTAATAAAGTAATACTTTATTAATAAAGTATATTAATAAAATATATTAATAAAAGATGGAGGAGCAGTTCCACTTCTCCAGGTCATTTATTAGTTCAATTCTCCTGTGGAGATGCTGAAGGGATGGAGCATCTCTGGGAGCAGGAAAGGCTGAGGGAGCTGGGGCTGTTCAGCCTCCAGAGCAGACACTGAGAGGGGACCTCCCCCAGGGTCTGGCAGAGGATGGACCAGGACTTGGACTCTGATCCTTCCAACTCAGCTGAAGCTGAACAGGAGCCAGAGTGTGCCCAGGGGGACAAGAGGGCCAATGGATCCTGGCCTGGCTCAGGAACAGGGTGGCCAACAGGGCCAAGGAAGTGATTCCTGCCCTGGACTCAGCGCTGGTGAGGCCACCCCTGGAGTGCTGTGTCCAGGTCTGGGCCCTCAGCTCAGGGAGGACATGGAGGGGCTGGAGCAGGGCCAGAGGAGAGCAACGAGGCTGGGGAAGGGACTGGAGCACAAGTGCTGGGAGGAGAGGCTGAGGGAGCTGGGGGGGCTCAGCCTGGAGAAGAGGAGGCTCAGGGGAGACCTCCTCACTCTCTGCAACTCCCTGCCAGGAGGGGGGAGCCAGGGGGGGTTGGTCTCTTTTCCCAGGCAACCATCAGCAAGACAAGAGGGCTGGGTCTGCAGCTGTGCCAGGGGAGGGTTAGGTTGGAGATTAGGAAGAATTTCTTTGCAGAGAGGGTGCTCAGCCATTGGAATGGGCTGCCCAGGGAGGGGGTGGATTCTCCATCCCTGGAGGTGTTTAAGGACAGACTGGATGTGGCATCAGTGCCATGGGCTGGGAACCACGGCGGGGTTGGATCAAGGGTTGGACTTGATGATCTCGGAGGTCCCTTCCAACCCAGCTGATTCTATGATTCTATGATCCTGTGATTCTGTGATTTCTTGCAGTGACTGTATCACTAAATTCCTATTTTTTCCCCCTCATTTCTTATTCCAGAGGCGGATGCCCCAAACTTTCCGTGATCCAGCCACTGCTCCACTGAGGAAACTCTCCGTAGATTTGATCAAAACATACAAGCATATTAATGAGGTAACGGCTCCTTGGTGGGCACTGAGGGCAGGGCTTTGTTACAGCACATAATTAATGTATTTCCTACAAATAATATCATGAAAGGATCACAAAAATCAAGTTTTCTCTCAGTTGTTCCTGTTGAGGTCATTGATGTCCTGCTCCAGCACAGGACATCTTTTATCCTGGAATTTATTTTCTCTTGTTTTCTAAACAAATGTTTTGCATGATAAAAGAAGTATGAGGGGCACAAACACACTTTGAGCTATAAAACTTTATGAATGTGTCTGAGGACTTCTAAGGAAAATTGTTTTATATTTTACATACATATTTTCCCTAAATTATGTCATTAAATCTTATTGGCAAATGTAAAATATAGAATCGTTGTTAATACAAGCAGGCATCAATTAATTTTGGCAGTTGAAGGGATTTCAGTGACTTCCTTGGAATTCTTGTGGAAAGCTCCAGCTGATAATTCTTATTTCCAGGCTCCTTAGCATTTTTAATTTTGCTGTGTACTTATGGTTCTGTTCTTCTTGCACCTGTGAGCTCCAGGGATCAGAACATTAATTGAGATCTGCTCAATTATTCCTCAAGACTTTGCTTTGGAATAAAGATTTGGCTTCAAACAGAGCAATAACAGAGGGTGACTTGGATTTCCACTGCTCCAAGTTGCATTTTAAACCACAGGGTGATTAATAAAAGTTGATTTTGCTCTTGATTGAACTGACAACTCTAAAAACTGCTCTTAACCAACCCCCTTTTCACCTCCAGGTTTACTATGCAAAAAAAAAACGGCGGCATCAGCAGGGCCAAGGAGATGATTCCAGTCACAAAAAGGAGAGGAAGGTTTACAACGATGGATATGATGATGACAACTACGATTATATTGTGAAAAATGGGGAGAAGTGGATGGATCGTTATGAAATCGACTCTTTAATAGGCAAAGGATCCTTTGGACAGGTAAATATATCATTTTATATATATATATATGATTTATATGAATCATAATTATGTTTAATTTGAGGTGCTATTCCTGTTTAATTTAAATGAAAACTGATTTTTCTCAGTGCTGTTTTACTGAGGCACTCAGGACACTCATATTTTGTGGTGTTTCAGGCAACATTTGAATGTATTTTATTTTGTAGCTCTGGTAAAGCATTTTACAGTGAGAAATCCTCAACCTTTTGCCATCAGCTGTTTGGCTTAGCTTTTAAAATTAAAACAATAAACCAGTCCTAGAGATCACCTGCTATAAATGTTATTAGTAGCATTTATTTGGACTGTTGGTAGCCAAACCTCAAGAAAAAGGCTGAAAGGAGGATAGAGCTTTTCTTTTTTGGTTGTTTTTTTTTTTAGTTTTCCTCAGATTTTGCCAGTCCTTTTAGGGTGTTGGTTTAGGTGATTTGATGATTTTATTTCCCAGTCTTTTACAGTGTTGGTTTAGGTGATTGGAAAATTTTATTTATTTATGAAATAATAAATGCTTATTGTCTATTGGATAATTTTATTTGTATTTATCATATGTATTTTTATTGACATATTTATTCCTGTAAAGTGCCCTCACAGCAGTAAATGTCACACACTCGGTTGTGGCTCTGTTGTGGTATGGAGAGAAGAAATCAAATTAAAAAGGACAAAACTTCTGGAAAAGTTTTCCTGAATGTAGAAAAGTGAGTTTTACTGTGTTTTGAAAACTGGAGAGCTTTTCCTGATGGATTTGGCTGCTCTGTTGCAGGTTGTCAAGGCCTATGACCGAATGGAGCAGGAGTGGGTGGCCATCAAAATCATCAAAAACAAGAAGGCTTTCTTAAACCAGGCCCAGATTGAAGTGAGACTGCTTGAGCTTATGAACAAACATGACACTGAGATGAAGTACTACATAGGTATTTCAATAATTATTCTCCCATTTTTATCTTATTCTTAATATAGGACATTTTCCCATACAACAAGGGTGCTCCTGGTCCTAAAGAAATACCGAGAAAACAACACACTTTTAAAATTATTCCTATGATTTCGTGCAGATTTTCCAGTTTGCTTTGTGACAGCCAGAATTAAAATATGGAAAACGATTTGTTACTTTGCAGTGTTGGGATTTTCTGCAGAGTTTTCTTTTTTCCAGTTAAGGACACCTGAAGAAGTTGCCATGGACCTGTGATGATCTGTGGTGGTTTTCATCATTTTCACTCTTTGAATATATCTCAAATTATCTCACAACTGTCATGGATAAGGACATATATTTTATAGGAATAACAGAATATAGAACATAATATTTTATGGGAACAGTAGCTTCATCATTACTTTTTTTTCATGTGTGTTTAAAAAGCTCAAAATTTGGTGTAACAACCAAAGATTTGTGTAAATGTTAAGATTTTCCCATTTAGAGCTCAGAAAATATTTGAAATCATATTATTTTGACTGTTTCTGTAGGTTGAAGTGTTGTTCCCTTGATTTATTATTTATGGTAATAATGAAATCAAGTCAGCTCCTGTAAAAAGTTTATTAAATCCCTTCTATCCTGTGGAGTAGAGAATTGGGAAAGAAATGATGGAAAGAAGACAACCCCATGCTGTAAAGAGAGATGGAGAAAGATGAAAAAGAGTGATTAAGGAAAATTAAACTGGGTTTAAGCATTTCTTAGTTTGTAGAAGCCAAAATACCAACAGCTGTGCTGTCCTGGTTTGCATGTCTGTATTGAATTCCTGATTTTTCTTTCTGTAGTTTAGAAAGAAATCTTTGAAATAATTTTAACATACGTTGGTATTAAATTATTTTATGATTATTCACTTAAATTTTAATTTGTTTTATAGAATAGCATATTCAGAATGCATTTTATGTATTCAGTGTCAAAGCTTTTGAGGTATTTTTAAGTTAAATTTATTAATGGCAGGTTTACATAAAACAAAACCTAAACTTGTCAGTGCCCCATATCAGAAAGGTGTTAAAGACATGACCAGTTTCAGATTAATAAAAGCAAGTAAAGGCATCAGCAAATAAGCTCTTGGAATTTTAAATTTATAGGGAAGAACCTGTCCCAGGTAAGTTGTAAAGGGCACAGAAAGAACTGGCTCCTGATAACAGAGAAAACAAATCCATGGACACCAAAACTCCACCTTCCTTAAAAACCTGAGTTCTCATTGTGCTGATTTTGGTTCAGCATTTTATTATGGCAAAAAAGGGGAGTGTGTTGCTTTTTATCTGAGGTGTTTATCCTATTTCAGTTCTCTTGTGGCCACCTGAGCTCTTGGCAGACTGACAAACAGATTTAATGGGATGAATATTTCACTTATTTCATGGAAAAAATCGATGGATTGGATTTGAACTGAATTGGTTCCTTCCAGAAACTCACGTTGTGCCTGCTTGAAATGAATACAATGCCCCGGGGATATTGATTTTAATCAGTTATTTTTAATTATTAACTGTATAATCAATTGAAGTCACGGCTTATAAATTGCGATTTATAAATTATAAATCTTAAATGAATCTGATGGTCAGATGTTTCCTCTGTAAATGCAGGGGGGTGGTAACTTGCTTTGGTATACAGCCTTTCTGGCTTCAAAGTAATTCTTTGGATAATACTGGGGATGTGTAAAATATCCCTCTGTACTCCAGGGCTTGCAGAAATATTCTGTAAATAACACAGAACTAGGAGAAAAGAAAATAATACTCTTATTATTTTAACTCATAATTAAGCTTCCTAATTGTAATTAGCACCTCATTTTTAGCACGCAGGGGCACGTTTTAATGACTTTTTTTTTTCCCCTTTCCCAAGTGCATTTGAAGCGTCACTTCATGTTCCGGAACCACCTGTGCTTGGTGTTCGAGATGTTGTCCTACAACCTGTACGACCTGCTGAGGAACACCAACTTCAGGGGGGTGTCCCTGAACCTCACCAGGAAGTTTGCCCAGCAGATGTGCACAGCTCTGCTCTTCCTGGCCACCCCCGAGCTCAGCATCATTCACTGTGACCTGAAACCCGAGAACATCCTGCTCTGCAACCCCAAACGCAGCGCCATCAAGATCGTGGATTTCGGCAGCTCGTGTCAGCTCGGGCAGAGGGTGAGCACCACTCCAGATTCTGTTTGCACAGTATTATGGAGTCATAACGCTCAGCTGGCTCATTTAAACTTTGCACACGGTGGCTTTAAAGTAGTAATTTAAGTTTAAAGGGGGTGCGAGAGAGCAACGGTCCGTGGGAGCTTCGGGTACGAGTTCCAGAATCCCGCAGTTGTTAAGGTTGGAGAAGACCTGTCAGGCACACGGTGACTCTGTGCAGGACTGGATGATCCTTGGGGGTCCCTTCCAGCTCAGCATATTCTGGGATTCTGTGACTTTTAAAATCATCAAGAGGCCTTTTAGGGTCTTTTTGAAGAGGCCTTTTAAGATCAACAGGTCCAACCATCAGCCAAAACCACCATGTTCAAACCACGTCCTCAAGTGCCACATCCATACGTTTTTTTGAACACTTTCACACTGCACCACTTCCCTTTAGTTCCCTAGTAGATAAAAATCCACCACAGTGATAACATTTCCATCTTTTTTTGTTCTCCTGGGCTGTGTTTTTGTGCCACGTCAGTGGAAAATGCATCAGCACTTGGTTGTACAAGTCTGCAGTGCTGTTAAATAAAATACTCTTTTATTATTATCTTATTCCATATATGTTACCTTTAATCACCTTATTATTTTATTCCATATGTATTACTCCTTCCACTTTGGCCTGTCGTCTGTTTATTACTGGTTATACTGCAGATTGGGTCATTATATGAAATGAATTCAGAAATTAAAGGATTAACTTGAACAAAATTCCCCAAATTCTCACTTGAGGAGTTGGGATTAGCCATTGCTTTTTTCCACTGTAATTTGGGAAGAGCAGATGAGAATACTGAATATTGCAGTGAATGCAGAGAATATTGAATATTGCAGAGACATAGATTTACATTAATTAAAGGGCTTTTAATATATATAAACTATACACTAGAAACTTTTCACCCTGGGGTGAAGGGAGACACAAGGAGGTGAAGTGACACCTGGATTATTTATCTCAATAATAAGATGATTTTGAGACGTTAAGAGGCACAAATACAAATCAATGATCACATGAGTAAATCTGCACCTTTTTTTGGAGAATATGAATATTTTCCTAAGAATTAACAGTGACATATTTTTATTAATACAATATATAGATATTTTGAGTATCACTGAGACCTTTCCCTGCACCAAAATGATATTTCCTGGGAGTTGTGTTTTGTCACGTGGAGTTGTCAGAATGCCCTTGGATGCTGTTTATGACCTTCAGATGTTTTATTTCAGATATACCAATATATCCAGAGTCGTTTTTATCGATCACCAGAGGTGCTACTGGGAATGCCTTATGATCTTGCAATTGATATGTGGTCCCTTGGGTGTATTTTAGTGGAGATGCACACTGGAGAGCCTCTCTTTAGTGGGGCAAATGAGGTACGTTGTGGACAAATAATTAGATTATTTTTTAATTAATTCCCATCGTGGTTCCTGTCTGTTTAATTGTAATGCATAAATGAGGGAAGTCTGTAACTCTAAAATGATTAAACATCAACAACACCAATGTCTGTTGTTGGAATTCAAAATTGCCTGTTAATTTTCTGCTTCTCCCTCTTACTCTTCACTCACTGATTTGTTTGTACATAATGGATTTTTCTTAAATGAATTAATTAAGAACTTGTCTGGGATGCTGACATTTGGGACACTGCTTGGCTGGCTGCCACTTGTTCCTCATAAATCCTTTTTGTTTGGAACAGGTGGATCAGATGAATAAAATAGTGGAAGTTTTGGGGATACCACCTACCCACATCCTCGACCAAGCACCAAAAGCAAGAAAGTTCTTTGAGAAGTTGCCAGATAGCACTTGGAACTTGAAGAAGACCAAAGATGGAAAAAGGGTAGGTTAAATAACCAGGATGATTAAAAAAACATATATTTTTTATATTATTATACATTTAATATATTTATATTTTTGTATATTTATATATATAAATGGTGACATGTTACTTTGGTTTGTTTGGAGCTTGAACAAGGCCAAAGATGGAAAAAGGGTAGATTAAATTACCAGGATGATAAAAAAAATATATTTTTATATATTTTATATATTTATAGTTTTATATATATTTATCATATATGTTTATATATATGTTTATATATAAACAGTGAGATGTTACTTTGTTTTTTTGGAACTTGAAGACCAAAGAGGGAAAAAGGGTAGATTAAATAACCAGGATGATTTAAAAAAATAAATTCTTATATATATATATATATATTTATAAAAAATACACACACATAAATATATATTATATAAATATATATATTATATTTTTATATATATATTTATATGTATAAATAGTGAGATGTTACTTTGGTTTTTTTGGAACTTGAAGAAGACCAGAGATGGAAAAAGGATAGGTTAAATAGCCTGGATGATTAAAAAGAAATAAAATCTTTCATATATATATATTTATATGTATAAATGGTGAGATGTTACTTTGGTTTTTTTTGGAACTTGAAGAAGACCAAAGGTGGAAAAAGGATAGGTTAAATAATCAGGATGATTAAAAAAAATAAATTCTTATATATATATATATATAAAAATACACATAAATATATATTATATAAATATATAATATTATATATATATATAAATATATATATTATATATTTTTATATATTTGTATGTATAAATGGTGAGGTGTTACTTTAGTTATTTTGAAACTTGAAGAAGACCAAAGATGGAAAAAGGATAGGTTAAATAACCAGGATGATATATAGTATTATATAGCTATAAATATATATATATATTTAATATATAAAGGGTGAGATGTTACTTTGTTTTACATCTTGTCTTCCTCAAAATGGAATTTCATTGTTGCTCCATCTCGTCCTTTAAGTAACACCTTCTGTAGTGCTGAATAGTTCCTTCCTTTGGTTTGACTTCCCCTCCTTGTACAATTCAACTGTGCACCCCCAAAGCTTAACCCACCCCTCGATCTCAAGCGATTCCCAACCTCCCTCCAGGAATACAAACCCCCCGCGACTCGCAAACTTCACAATATCCTGGGAGTTGAGACCGGAGGACCAGGCGGGCGCCGGGCTGGGGAACCGGGTCATACTGTAGCCGACTACTTGAAGTTCAAAGACCTCATCTTAAGGATGCTTGACTATGACCCCAAGACACGGATCCAGCCCTACTATGCCCTGCAGCACAGTTTCTTCAAGAAAACAGCGGATGAAGGTACAAACACGAGTAACAGCGTGTCCACCAGTCCTGCCATGGAGCAGTCGCAGTCTTCGGGAACCACCTCTAGTACATCTTCGAGCTCAGGTGAGGTTTTGGCATGGACAGGTGGATAAATTGTATTTCCCGGTGGAAGTCTTTCCCACGTGAATCACCAGAGGGTGGTGGGCACTGACCAGGCTCCCCAGGGCAGTGGGCACGGCCCCAAGGCTGCCAGAACTCCAGGAGGGTTTGGACAATGCTCTGAGGGACAGAGGGGATTGTTGGGATGTCCTGGGCAGGGCCAGGAGATGGACATAATGATCCCTTCCAGGGTATTCCATCATCATCATCATCATCGTGGCTAGGCTTCGCGAACGAAGGTTTGAGCAGGGTATTCCATGATTGTATGAAATGTTGTCTTTTCCTCCTGTTAAAAACCCAATACATCAACCACGCTCATGAAACGATTCCTTTAATCAGCTGAAACAGGCACCAGCCCAACCAAAAACTAGATGAGCAAAAATGTGAGTGATCATCTCATACTTTCCTCTTGGAGCAGGTCACGTTATCTTCACGCAGCCACCGTTTTGCAGCTTTAAATTTGGTGCCTCTTTAGTTAATCGGGCGCGTTCTGGTTTTCCAGGTGGATCTTCCGGAACGAGCAACAGCGGGAGGGCACGGTCGGACCCCACACACCAGCATCGACACAGTGGTGGGCACTTCACTGCTGCTGTTCAAGCGATGGACTGTGAAACACACAGCCCACAGGTAGGTCTGAAGAGGCCAGTTCAGTGTTTTATTGTGGTGCAGAACAGATAAATACAGGAATTCTCCCAAGTGGGCACTTCAGTTCATGCACAACCTGGTGTGTAGGCAGACCTTGGTGTGTTAGTGACCTTTAACCAGCTGTGTTGTTCCAGAGGTTCCTCTCGTGCTGTTGACACCACTCAAGGTATGAACTCCAGTTAATTTACTTTAGTTTGCTTATTGTCTCCCTCAGCCAGGAATCAGGGCCTTGTTGTCCTGTGTGTTGTACCAATATTCTGTTGTTTATTATTACTGTTGCCTAAAGCTGCTCGTAGAATTTCAACAGCGAGGTCACGTATTGAACTTCAACTGTTTGTAGGGAAAAAACATCCAGAATGCAAAATTTATTTTTCTTAGTGATTCTTAACTGTGTGCTTGCATCTCTGGAATAATTTTGCAACTGCAAGGCTTGGTTAACTTTTCTAAAAGTTGGCATAAATGTGAATAACTCTCATATAATACAAATCTCTGATATAATATATATACATATGAATATATGTAATATAGATGAATATATATATCATGGATATCTCATACAATATGAATACCTATATGAATACATATAATTTATTAATATATATGAATATATAACATAGCTTATTTAATATGAATACCTAGATGAATATATAAAATATATGAATATATATAATATGAATCTCTGATATGAGTACCTATATGAACATATAAAATATATATGGATATATAAAATATACATGAATATATATGAATATATATAATATGAATCTCTCATATACTAGGAATACCTATATGAATATATATATTATATTAATGTATAATATATTAATATATAATATGAATATATAATACTAGTATAATATACAATATGATCACCTATTTGAACACATATAATATATTTATATATATGAATATATAACATAGGTCATTTAATATGAATACCTAGATGAATATATATATTATATGAATATATGATATATTAATATATAATATAAATATATAATACAAATATAATATACAATATGAACACCATTTTGAATACATGTAATATATTAATATATATGAATATATAACATAGGTCATTTAATATGAATACCTAGATGAATATATAAAATATGTGAATATATAGTATGAATCTCTGATATAATAGGAATACCTAGATGAATATATAAAATATATGTTCATATGTATAATATATATGAATATACATGAATATATATAATATGAATCTGATATAATAGGATTACCTATCTGAATATATATAATATATTATCGTATAATATATTAATATATATGAATATCTGATATAATATTAATATCTATATGAATACATATAATGTATATGAATATATATATAATATGAATCTTATATAATATGAATAACTCAATAATATGCATCTCTCATATGTTGCAAATGTTCAAGGAACGACTGGATGTGGCACTCAGTGCTCTGGTCTAGTTGAGAAGACGGTGCCCCAAGGTTGGACTTGATGATCTTGGAGGTCTTTTCCGACCTTCATAACTCTCTGGTCCTGTGAAATGGGCAGATTTGAGGCAGCATTTTAATTGTAGTTGTGCTCCTTCCCAGGTTCGACAGCAGTTTCCTCCCCCGATTGGTTGGACGGCCACCGAAGCTCCGACACAGGTCACTGTTGAAAACCACCCAGTTCAAGAAACCACCTTCCATGTAAACCCTCAACAACAGAATGCATTACATCATCACCACGGCAACAGCTCCCACCACCACCACCATCACCACCACCACCACCACCACCATGGACAGCAAGCCTTGGGCAGCCGGACCAGGCCGAGAGTCTACAATTCTCCAACAAACAGCTCCTCCACCCAGGATTCTATGGAGGTGGGCCACAGTCACCACTCCATGACATCCCTGTCTTCCTCAACTACTTCTTCCTCTACATCTTCCTCCTCTACTGGTAACCAAGGCAATCAGGCCTATCAGAACCGCCCAGTGGCTGCTAATACCTTGGACTTTGGACAGAACGGAGCGATGGACATGAATTTAACAGTCTACTCTAATCCGCGCCAAGAAACGGGCATAGCTGGACATCCCACGTACCAGTTCTCTGCTAACACAGGTCCTGCTCATTACATGACTGAAGGACACCTTGCCATGAGGCAAGGCATTGATAGAGAAGAGTCTCCCATGACAGGAGTTTGTGTTCAGCAAAGTCCTGTGGCTAGCTCGTGACTAAACTGAAACTAAGTTTGTTTCTTGTGTGTTTTTATAGAAGTGGTGTTTTTCCAAAAAAAAAAAAAAAAAAAAAGTGCAAAGCTGCTTGAATCAGAAGGAGATAAACTCACTGAACCGCTACAGGAGGGCAAAGTTGACTATTTTTTTAAACTTGAAAAGATTGCAAAGGGACAATGAAGTTTTTTTTTTTTGTTGTTGGTTTTTTTGGGGGGTGGGGGAGAGGTTTTTTCGGTTGTTTTTTTTTTTTTGATTTTTTTTTTTTTTTTTAAGAGCCATGTCTGGACCCACCTCAACGAATAGCTTAGTGATGTTCACCTTTTGCTTCCCCCATTTTAACTTGCCACAACCTCTAGTCATAGTTTGGTTTTTTTGGGGGAGGGGTTTTGGTTCGTTTTTTTTTTTTTTTTTTTTTTTTTTTTTTTTTTTTTCATTCAACAGGGGGTTATTGTTCAAACGTTAGTCGTAGTTGCAAACTAGTTTTCTTTTTAAAGGCATTGCACATGGTTTCTGAGAAAAGGCCCTTTGAAGTTTTTCGGGTGGGGAGGGGGGAGTGAGTTAATATATATATTTTTTTTAGTTCCCCAAACAAACATGGGCACAGAAATGCAGTACTGTAAGCAAGAGGGACCTTCAGATCACACAAACCTATAACTCTTCAGCTGTAAAAAGGGACGGTTGTGACGGAGCTGGTGAGGCACACTGAGCATGCGAAGTGGCGGTGAGCAGAACTCTCCTTTTCTGAATCTACTGAGGATCAAAGCAGCAATTTGTGATGGGATTCTGTGGGTCCCACCTTTTGGAGACCGCAGGCAGTTAGTGTTGGAATATGACTGGTTTCATAACTGAGGTGCACTGAGAAGCAATCAACGGGTCGGTCCTGGCCAGTCCTGGGGAGGTCTAAGTGGTGGTCTTTGGGATAACCTTTGGCCTTATGGATTTGGACTCTTAAGTTAGAAGAGCCTACCATTTCAGATGCAATCACTTTTGGACATGCTTTTGCAGACAGTCCTTAATGCTGAAAACACAGAGAATGGGTAATTCAAGAGGCCTTTCTTTTAAAAATAGACTTTTGTGACCCACTTATTGTAAGGTATTGCAAGGTCACTTTGCGTGTGTCATAAAGTTGACTTCCTTATTGGTTGAAGGTCACAGGAGTAGTGGTTTGCTTTGATGGAAATAGCTACAACTGTGTCCCTTCCTGCTTTTTACTTTTTTCTTTTGCTTTTTTCTCGGCACGTGGTTTCTCCACCATTACTTCTGCACAAAGACGTCTTCTGTTCATCCTGAACATTTTTAAAAAAAAAAAAAATGCAGAATTTTATGTGACTGCTTTTTTGCCTCACAATTATGCTGTGAATTTTACAAAAATTTATTTTCTTTTTTGATAATTTATTGTACCAAAGCTGTTTTTATAGCACATAGATGTCTGTAACCAATAATGTAGCAGTTCTGCACTTTGACACAAGGTGTAACTAGACCATTTTTAAATGTCAGTTGAAAATTATGGCTGTACTATTGCTTAAACAAAACTGGAACTGTTGTTGAATTCATAGCCAATACATTTACAGCAATCTGTGTACTGAAGATAATAGATTGACATCTACTTGGAGACTATAACATCTGTTACATTATCAATGTGTTCAGGCTTCTGAAGGCAAAAGGGACACTTAGAACCAGAAGCTATGAAACCAGCAGTTGATTCTTGTATTCCTTATTAACATAATTGTAAACTTGAAGGCAAAAGACCTTGATTGCATGAACAGGTCCAAAACAATAAGTTCTGAGTAAAGCAAAACACTCACATGAGACCTGAGGTTAGCAGGCTGTATTTAACAGGTGCCTAATTTTTGGGTAACGCTGCCTTAATATAACACAGTCAGCTTGGCAGTTGCAAAATTTATGGGCCCATCCAGAGATTTGATTTGGGGGGGGGAGGGGGAAACAAAAAAAAAAGGTAAAAGCTGCGTGAAAAACTTGGGAAAAGAAGAAGGCAAATCCCTCTGTTGCCCATCCCAGATGCCCAGTGTTGCCCATCCTCTCTTACAGAAGCAGTGATCTACCTCTGCCAGTAAGCCCTTGGAAAAGTTAATTTAGCAGCAAATGGTCAATTCCATGCGGCCAAGCCGTGGTTTGGTTTTGGTTTTTTTTTTCCGTGGAAAAGGTGGAATTTTTTAATCCTCACAGTGGCAACGCAGCAGCTGACTCACCATGTGAACGGGAACGAAAACCCTTGGGATGCTCATTTTTATTTTTATTTTTTTTTTTTTTCTAAATCATGGTTTCCTCGATCGACCGATTTCTTTTTGTATCGACACATCGACCCTGTGGATGAAAGTGGGATTTTTTTTTTTATTATTTTATTTTTTTGGTTTGTTTCCATTTTTTTTTTTTTTTTTTTTTTTTTGGTTTTTTTTTTTTTTTTTTGGTTTTTTTTTGTCTTTATGGTTTTCTTTTGGAAGCTCAGTAACTGGGAGAAGTTTACAGGATTTGGAAGGCTGTCACCCTTAGAACCGGGAATGCTGAGTTTAGCAATATAAAAAAAAAAAAAAAAAGGAATCCAGTACTTACTGCTGTCTAGGAATTATAAGGGTAATATGAAATCTGGGTAACATTTCGTGTGCTCCAGTTGCCACACCTTTAGCGAGCGCCCCCCAAAAAAAAAACACAAATAAAAGCAGTTCAAAGAAATAATATCTCCATCAAGAAGAAATCATAAAAAAAAAAAAAAAAAAAAAAAAATCCAGTGCTTCTGCATACTGTGTTATGTTACAGTCCAGTTTTGTGTGCTTTACTACACAGTTTGGTTACAGGACTTCTGTGCATTGTAAACATAAACAGCATGGAAAAGGTTAAATACCTGTGTTCAGATTGTAAGATCTAGTCCGGACTTGCTGTGTATATTGTAACGTTAAATGAAAAGACAAGCCCTTTGTATTATAGTCATGCAGTCTTATGTATGATAAACAGTTGAATAATTTGTCCTCAGACTCTTTACTGTGCTTTTTAAAAACGAGAAAGAGGGAAAAAAGAAAAAAAAAAAAAGAGTAATTTAAGGAAAAAAAAAAACCCGACAACAAAGAAACAAAAATGTAAACGATTAGTAAATCTTCCTATGCAATTAACCTACTCCAAGCCATGGTATGGTAGGTATAATTATACTATAATATGTAAATATCAGATACATTGAAACGGAATTAAGAATATGAAAGTAAAAGTTGGAGGCCTAACAGCTAATTTGGAGTTTTTAATTGAAACAGCAAGGTCTGCAAATGGGTGGTGTGTGAACGCAGCTCTGTGCTCCGTTTCTCATGGACTGTGCCTGTAGTTTGAGTTCTTTCTCTCCTCCTCTGTTAGTCTGGATGTTCTCTGCAGCTTCCTGCTATTCCAGACAAGCTGATTTTAAGGCCAGGAGTGACCCTGGAGTGGAATGCTGGCACTGGCGTGTCCTTATCCCCAGAGGCCAATCCAGCTGTTCCCGCATCTTTTGGGTGCAGCAGGACATGAATTTGAAAAAGCTGCTTTTCCTCTAGATCCTTCCAAGTGTGAGGATCCTTCCTGTGTCTCTGGAGTGGTGCAGGTAGTTGGTTTTCCATGCTCTTAGTCCTCCTTGAGTTCCAGGACTGTTCGGTTCCATCAGAGCCTCTTAGAAGGACGAATAACGACTCTAGTGTGAAACTATTTCACTTTATCCACGTCAAAACATGTTAATTAATAACCTCTGTAGATGGAGTTCCTTAAACCTCTTTAATTGTAAAGCTTTTATGGCTCTTCCGAAACTCCAGGTGTTTTAAAACCCATTCTAAAGCGTGGAATTGCCCCTGGGAATGGTTTCGGTCCTGCTGTGTGCAGGACATGCAGGTCCATCCTCGAACCTCTCAGTTGATATCGTGGCTTGTGTTGTTGATACCTCCAAGGATTGCATTTTTGAAACCTTTCAGCCTCAGTTATTTGCATTAAAAGATTGTAAATTTAGATGATTATCCATCATGATTCCTCAGTCCTTTGGGAACTGCTGCTCTCCCAGGATTTAGGCTCCCATCCTGTAAGTATAATGGGGTCTGGAGGGGGCTGGTTTGCACAAGGGTTGGGTTCACCTGTAGGTGTGACTTCTCTCCGTTGTTTATCACTCCACCATCATTGTTTTCATTAAACCACCAATGTTCTTACATTTAATTCTTGATAACTGGAAAAAAACACCTTGGAAGGTCGATCCCCTGTTGAAGAATTCCTGTTGAAAGCCATCAGGAACATCCTTTTTAAGGAGGGAGTAAGTGAAAACTCCGCCCTCGCGACACAGAACGTGTCATGTTGATTTACAGAACCAACACATCTCAGTGAGGTCATTGCATGGAACTTCTGAGTAGCTTGGAAGTGTCTTTCTGGTCAAAATGCCACAAGTAAGTGGCTTCAAAGTGGAGTGACTGCAGAGTGTTCATCTCCTGAGTTTCGATAAATTTTTGTAGTATTTTTGTAACTTATTTTAATTCTCTCAGGGGGGACCTTCTGGCTCTGCAACCCCCTGACAGGAGGGGGGAGCTGGGGGGGTTGGGCTCTGCTGCCAGGGAACAAGGGACAGGAGGAGAGGGAACGGCCTCCAGCTGTGCCAGGGGAGGCTCAGGTTGGACAGGGGAGGAATTTCCTGCTGGAAAGGGTGGTCAGGCCTTGTCAGGGGCTGCCCAGGGAGGTTTGGAGTGCCCAGCCCTGGAGGTGTCCCAGGAAGGCCTGGCCGTGGCACTGAGTGCTCTGGGCTGGGGGACGAAGTGGGGATGGGACACAGGGTGGGCTCCATGACCTTGGAGTTCTTTTCCAACCTCAGTGATCCTGGGATATTTTCCTTAGAATGAAGCACATTAAAATAGCACATCTGTCCAGCAAAGAAAGGCACTTTGCCAAAGTGCAGTTTTCTGTTCCCTGTCCCTGGTTTTGTGGGGTCCTACAGATGCCATCTCGTGTTGGAAATTTGTGATTGGTATTTATGTCTCCACCTCATGACAACAGTTGAGCTGGTTTTTTCCTTACT